TAGTTAAATGCCGGGCTAGAAATGCGTTATAAATATAAAACATATATTTTTTTTCCAGTGAAAAATCAAAGAAAAACACAATAAAAAAATGTCATGCTGTTGACAAAGGAAAAGGGAGGAATAAAATGATTAGTTGATATCATCAAGTTAATCGCTATTCCCAGAAAAAAATAATCAATAGGGCCCAACATTAATTGTACAGAAGCTAATACCAATTAGTAGCTGTATTCAACATAAGAGACTTGCACCAATACAAGATCTAAAAGGGATCAATGTGATCCTTGTAAAGAAAGAGGCACTTAAAGATAGGGTTTAAGATGCACTAATCTCATGTTCATAAAATCCTGAAAATTCCGGATGAGAAGGACTTATTTTTCCTGCATGTGGATTGATTTTTTTTCGCATGCATATAACATTTTTAATGGTAAAACATGCTCCAAAATTAAAGTTCTTTTTGGTTCCAACAGTAATGTAACTTTCATATTCAACATATTATTTAGTCACAAAAATAATCTTACCAATGCGATCCTACATTATCATCTAAGAATCCATGGCGAGACAACAAATCCCGACATCCATGTGAGACCTAATGCTGTGGGAACTATCAGCATTGGGACCCCTATTTTTATGGTCCGAAGTTGATCATGCATGTGGATCCATGAAAATGATATAAAGAGATTGTGGGCTCACCTGACTGTTGTTTCTACCCTCTTCATCACAAAGATATGAACTTGATTTATTCTTACTGAAGAAAACAACAGGTACTTGATCCAAGGAATTCTGTTGGTGCAAAGCCATCCTCTTAATTACACACATAGAAAGACAAAACAATTAAACCTGTCTTAGTAGCACTCATTTAGCTTAAAGAGGCAGGACATGTTATCCATATCAATTCGGGCTTCATCTTGTGGGGCTTGACATGAATTTTCTCAAGTATGGCTCCTTATAGCCAACTATTATTGGATCAGAAATGGATCCCCAATCATTTCTTAAATGTTTGTTAACTCCATTTCTAAATTTAATTAGTATCTGCACTTGATAATAAGTATATAATTTATACATATATGTAAAGTATATAAATATAAAGTATGATATTATGGGGGATCTCGATTCGCATAATTTTAAGCATCATGATATTTTAAATTTCTCAGTTAGTTAGTTAATTTGTCAAGAAATAAGTCTAAATTGTGTTACATCGATCGATTTAGCAGATGGATTTATAATCTCGTAACTTTGGATCATGGAGTAAGTAGAAAGCGAACAATTCAGGAAGCTATTATTCTTTTACAAGTCGGAAATTAATTGAATCTGAAGTGATAAATGTCACACACAAATATACGCACGCATATATACGCCTTTTTTTATTTAAATTAGTTGTGCTGTCTCATACTCAATTATTGTTCATGAATTATATTGAAACGTTTTATTTGGCATATTATATCGATTTTTTTCAAATAAAAGATCAATAAAGATTCGGAGTGGAAAATTATAATTCAATACTTGGTGGTCACCAAAATGGAATTTAGAAATGAATCAAATATCCACATTTGAATTATTTGAGTTCTTGGTTGGAAACGTTTACACGCTGATCCAATCCAAATCTCTCACGTTCATGGAGAGAGGAAACCCTAAAAAATTGATCTTGGATCTAAAATGATGGAACAACAAACATCCCATGTGAACAATTGGGCTTCTAGTTGTCTTTGTTGGACTACTACACCTCAGCAACCAAAACCTGATCTATCCTTGGAGTGGAAACCTCAACAACTAGGCAGCTAATTCTTTCTTTATTTCATGCTTTCTTTCTTTTGATGAAGATAAATAGCTAACATTTTGCTCAAACCAAATGTGGGCTTCTTTAGATGATGACAAGGTGAAAATTTGAATTGTGGTCTCCAATGACAAGCACTAACTTGTCGTTGAGTTTACAAGTCAATCATTATGAGCCTTCATTCTGGCCACTGGATACATTTGGACTAAGATTTTATTGCAAGATTTCTTGAAGACAGTTAAGTGGGTTAATTGGTGGTGGTCGTTGGCAGTATCTCCCAAACAATATCATCATGTTGGAGCTCAGAGAAGAAGATCTGACCATGCCTTTTTCTTTTTGTCATCTCTTGTTTGGTATACTATGCACTACCTTCATATTTTCCCTTAAATTTCTTCTTTTCCTTTCATAATTTGGATGATCAACCAGAAAAAAAGGAATCGTTTGTGTTTGACCGACACTCCTTTTGTCAGTCAAATGGAGCACATAGTGGAAAGCCAAACCATGAATGTAAATGTTAAAGACTAACTCAGTTACTTGTGAGCAGTCTGCAAGTAATAATCTGAGAACTACATGCCAAATGCTCACTGTGTACCAAGATGTCATAAACATGGAGCTACTCCATTTTTCGGGAGTAGAGTTTGATTTTATGTAAAAACTATTACTGAACTTTCTAGTTCTATCAATTTGATTTGAGTTATTATAAAAAATATTTGTTTGTTTTTTTTTTTGTTTGCATATGTCAGTTTAAAGCTAAATCATACACATCCATCTCCAAAGTTGAAATAATTGGGATGCCTACATATTGGACATCTCATCCACCTTCCAAATCTAAACCCTAGTCAATTGATGACAGTTCTGTTATTTTGATAGCAAGGAAAGACCCCTCTAACCATGGGAGTTGAGCTTGCTAGAAGTTTGCCTCTTTACAGTCATTGCTCACAGATGCTTTTCACGAGAGAGAGAGAGAGAGAGAGAGAGAGAGAGAGAGAGAGATCACACGATACATACTATTAGGCCTTAAAAGCCTCCTAACCCTAGCGCTTAAGACGCAGGCAGCATTGCCTTCCATGGATATGGTACGCACGGAAAGCAGAAGCGAGCACCGTTCGGCCTGCTTCGCAATTACTACACACCAGCGGGGGTCGCAGAACAACTCCAGCGACGCGCTGCACGCGAGCATGTGCGCGAGTGCTCCCCCAACATCCAGCCTCCACCCCACGAGAAGATCACAGAATCAACCAAATATAAAAATGTTTCAGAGCAGATCTTTACTCGGTATGGTAAAAGCCATGCTTCTGGCAGCAGATAAGAGTACTGCTTGCTCATGAGAGTGTGGACTGTGGACTGTGGACTGACACCCAACCAAGCAGAAGAGAATAACTTCACAGTGCGCCATTAGGGTGAACAAGTGCGTGCAGGTTGGGATTTGGGATGGCAGCAAGCCTTCATCTGACCTTGGCTGTCTCATCAACCCTGCTCTTTCCCAAGATGAGAGAAAGTGAAGCCTGGCTCGCACCTGTTGATCCTAGCTAAATCCATTAAAGGCGCTTGACCAAGCACCACCACCACCGCCTCCCCCATCGAGCAGTTTCTTTCCCGCAGAGCCTATCGAGTCTGGGCGGGCAAAAGGCTCTCTATGGTGGAGAAAAAGGCGTGGTTACACGAAGAGGGCAACAGTGAGGGTGCGTTGGGGGGTGTCCCTTCTTTTACCCCTATGGGAAACCGAGGAATCGTCACATCACTTCCCGCACTCACTGGCCCCTCAGGACAGTGACAACTGATCCCCTCCACCTTTTCCCTCCCCTTCTTAAACTTTCTGCACTCACCACCCTTCTCGGGTGCATCTTCTCGTGATATGTTGCCCCTCTTCATCGCTCAGCATGTCATGATGTCTCGTATGGATCTTGGCCTGGTTTGTAGCCTTCGAAGATTGCTCTGTAATGCGGACTGATGGAGACTGGCGCATGATTCCTGTATGTTTTTGTTGTTGTTGGATATGTGTTGCTCGAAGCAAGTGCCTGCCCTTGGAGCGCAACATGACGCAGCTTCTGAAACTTGATCGTACCCGTTCTTGTTGAATGCGTTTTTTCTAAATCTGGGAGAATCATGGAGGCTCATCATCGATTAATAGAAACTTGGTAAACAGTGTTTTAGAAGGTGGGACTTTGATCTTTCTCATCTTTTGCTGCATGTATCCAGAAGAGATCATAAACGTATCAAGTCAAAGACTAAGTTCTGTTCATTTATACCAAGTGACCCTGAAACAAAATAGGAGCACTGTTTCAGGTGCATCTGTAGACACATAAAAATCAAAGGCATAGATGTGAAAGCATGGTAGTTTATCTTGGTATCATGAAGTCAAAAAAACCTACCTAGTAACCCTACCAGATACAGTAATATAGCTTGTCACCCAGGAAGGGGATAACTTTTCTATATGTTGGTTTGACCAAGCAGTAATTTGAGAAGCTAAAAGACATGGAGTCTGACTTCGTAAGATACTGAGAGATGGTAAGCACCATGGCAAGATATCACGAGATATAGGAAGCCATAAACCCGTTCTCTCTCAAGCAGGGTTGGCTGGGCCGTACGTTCCATGAGTGGGGGTTCCCACGGGCATTATTGCCAGAATAGAAACCCTAAGCCATGGCGCATGCCCACTGCAGTGAGCATCTCTTGGGCACGGGAGAGGAGGTCTATCACCCTCTTCTTCTCCCCCGGCTTAGCTTGTCTCTTCTTCTTAGTCATGGATTTGGTCTCTCCCACTGAGCAACTGTGCTACGTGCGTTGCACCTACTGCAACACTGTTCTTGCGGTAATTTTTCTTAAAGTAGGAGACTAAAAAGAGGCCAGTCATGATGCTTTAGATGTACAGGAAAGATGTCCATTCAAAAAAAAAAAGAGCATCTTCTTCAGCCATATCAGCTTGTTCTCTGAGCAAGTTTCTCTGTATGAATTCCCTGTTTTTTCTCTGTTCTCTTCGATCTGGCATCCGAGGACCAGTACTTTCAAAGCAAGCCTTCATTTTCTTTTCTCATACTTTTCTGTTCACTTTTAATTATCTCACTAACCATGAATGATGTTTTAGTTTGAGAAGATCCAGATGAAAGTACTACTTTGCTTTGGTTTTTCTACTGTTCGTGTTGATGGTTCTTATGCTGTCCATGCCGCTGTTAATTACGACAAAGTATTCCCGTCGGCTTCTAGGGTTTTTCCTCCTCTTCCTCTCTCTCTCTCTCTCTCTTACAAAGTGAGAAAAAGAAAATTGTTCAAACGAGATCCAATCTGTTTGCATGCATGAGGAATCTAAAGATGATTCCTTGATTATTTTTCTCTTTCCACGCTCTAATTTTTGAGTCTCCTCAGTATTTGCAGGTTGCAGTTCCATGAAATGCAGCTGATCTCGGTCTAAGAGCATGCATAAAGCAGATCATAAGCACCTTCCTCAAACTTCGAGCATTCTAGTTCTGTTCCTCTCTCTTCTTATGCTGAATTCTTCTTTTACCTGCTCATGGCAGTGTAAGATCATACTATATGGAAGCAGACTTTGATATCTATTCCCTTCCCTTCCCCTCACCCAAATTCATCAGCTCTTCTTCAGCTAAACAATTATCTACAGGATATCCACTTGATGCTAACAATTACTCTGTGGATGAACTATAATATTCCTATTTCTATTTCGAGTTGCAATCTTTTGGAAAGGCAACATGGGATTCCACAGAATTGCCAGCTCTAGATAATATGGGGGGAAAAAAAAAGCACATTATTGGGAAAATAAGAGCCAAAGATACCAGAGGGTGAAAAGAGCTACCGATTACACCTTGATCTGGCGTGGTGACAAGACTTTCACTTGGCTGCAGGTTGGAGTTCCATGCAAGCGGATGATGGATACAATTACTGTGAAATGTGGTCACTGCAACCATCTCTCCTTTCTCGGCCCCAGACCCATTGTGCAGTCCCTTACTCCCACTAATCATCATCTCATAGGCCTTCAGGTTCACTTCTTCTCTATTAAATTTCTTGTGCTTAGACTAATGTGACAAGATGATGCGTACCGAACAATATATTTGTGATGCGTTATAAATTGAACAATATTTTAGGATCCATTGCAATCTTGTCTGTCTGCTTCCTTCCATCTCCTTTTCTGCTTGGTTTGATTCTTTTTCTTTCGGGAAAAGGCAGTGATATTTTAGGCACTTTATCTTGTATGACGATGTTCGTTATCTTGATTAGGGTCCTTGCACCGACTGCCTGAGAGGACAACCTTCACCACCATCATCATCAACTTCAATTGAGCAAATGATCCAAAGCCCACAATTTGTCATGAAACGTAAAGATTCTCTCTTTTTTTTTTCCCTTCATGTTTAGTGTTTTTCTTCTTTTTTTTCTGAGGAAATATTGATTCCTTCAATTGTTGATGGCAGCTCCCGAGAAGAAGCACAGAATGCCTTCTGCTTATAATCGCTTCATGAAGTAAGAATCAGATACGATATCTTCATACGAGTGCTGATGTATTATTTTCTTTGTTGCATCTCATGAATGAGCATATCATCAGATTTGATCTGGTGTAAACATCACCAGCCAAATCCTCATATGTTCTCGTAGCAAAACGGCAGACTCCTTAAAGACATTCTCAACCTAACATCAGACACTTTCCACCATCCTTCACACAGATAATGTAGCAAAGTCCTCTTTTCTCGATGCTGCTCGAAAGAGCACAGGAAACCTTTTCTGCAAAAATATATAGCATTTTCTTTTTTCCTTATGAACCTTTACTATTTTAACCTTGCACCTTTACATTTCATCACATCGATCTTCCTCTGAGATTAATTCTGCATATACAATTTCTTTGCTTTGTACCTTATGCTATGTATCATATCCTACTGGGGCAACTTCATTTGATGCATCTGAAACACCAAAGATGGAGTAAATGTGACTCAGATACTAAAATGGTTCTGCCAATAGATCCCTTGTACAACTTCATGCTGTGTGCTTCCTCTTGACCTTTTCCTTTATAAATGAAGCATGCTAGTTAATAGTCTTTACTCTCGTTACTTACAAGTCAGATGTTCAAGACACACAACAACATAATAGAGTAGAAATATTTATGTATGTGGAGAGATTAAAAATTGAACTAAAAAGAATTGTCCTATATGCTAAATATTGATAGAGTCAAATGACATATATTGAGTTTGGCCTACAATCTAATGGCTTAAACTTTTGGGTTGAATTAGAAACTATCCTGATATATATTAACCCACATCAATTTGACTTAGAATCATTATTAATGAATTTCTAGTGATGATCCTAAGCTCCTAGAATAGGGGTCTAGAGAGGATCAATATACATAATCTTACACCTACAAGCACATAAAGACATCAATCATTAGTAATGGAAAAATATTAGGAAGCGTTTTATAGTGTTTAAACCAAGTAGATGCCTTTATAAGTTGTAATACAGAAGATAGTACAACACATTATGTTGCAGCATTATGTATGATTGGAACTGCAGTCATGAACTGGCTACAGCTTGCTCTCGAACTCGTGTATATTGTTGCTGGAGGACAAATCACATAACTCAAGAACCATATCATGACAGGGAGGAAATACAACGAATCAAGGCAGCTAAACCTGATATTCCTCACCGGGAAGCATTTAGCATGGCTGCAAAGAATGTAAGTTATCACACAATCAACTTGTTTCTGAAGGCAATACTAATGGCAGTATCTTTCATGCTTCTTGTCACATGAACTGAAGTGGGCTAAGTGTGATCCTCGTTGCTCGTCGACTATTGTTTCGCCTTCTGATACCAATGAACTGGCCCCCGTTCCAGATTCGGTAAAGAGAAAATAACTTTCATTTTTCACCATTAGAAGTGGTTTGTGTAGTTAATTATTCGTGCCGTCTTGTCTTGATGACACAGGAAAGAAGCAGTTGCTCTAGAATGGAAAGCTCAAGTGTTTGCAAGCAATTGGAAAAGAAGGATTAGGTTCCGAAACAACATATGGAGCTCTTCCTCTTTCCTAGTGATGCAATTATGGTGTTAATTTTTGTTGGATCTTGTCTTAGATCTCTCTATAGTGAAACATCTTTAAATCTGTACTATTTCCCAGTTATGATCCATGTATCCTATGGATGCACTGCAGATGAAGAGGAAGTGATCCATACATGTTGCTCAGATGTATGAATTGCTAAGATTTAAACCCAAGTATTGAGTGCCTCGTTAGAAATGTTTTAAAGTAAGAAGACATCCCTTGCTACTTGGATGATAAAACTCCATACAGATCGATCGAAGTAGACAAGTTTTGATCTAAGAAGAAGGATTTGGAGCCCGTCAAATATATATTTATGCAATCTGATTTTTATTGATTCCATGAGTTCAGTGTTACCTGCTCACCACCATCACTAGTATTTGACAATGCTTGGCAAGACAAAAATGATGAAACAGGATAAAGGATTTTTCTGCAGGGATGTACTCATTTATCTTTTGTGGACAAAGCTTGCACTTCAAAGATTAATCAACATGAACATCTGCACATAAATTGAGTACAAAAAGTAGCTGAGAAATTAGCATTTCATACTAAGTTCATTGTTTCAGTCGGTGACATTTCAAGGTTCATTCTCTTCTGACATCAAATTCCTCTGTAAGAAAACTTGTAAACATGAAGAAGAAAAGACATCCAATACTATACTCTGAAGTCTGTAGCCAAAGATGGTCGATATACCTCACTGTCCTCTCATGTTTAACTGGGTGCAACATTCTAATTTGTTTTGGATGCCATCTATATGTTTGTCATTGATCCAATAATGCAGCCATAAGGCGATCCTCTTCTCTATTCCATTTTCTTATATTTTTTTCTCAAAACCCTAATGTTATTTGATCATTCTTTTGGATTTTCATTTTCTGAAAATAAGTTATAGTTAAAAATTTCCCATCTTAGTTTATGATATGCAAGTCGAAACAATATGAAACTGCAAACAGATTACATACCTTTCTTTCTTATAATAAAAAGAGTACATATAGCCGATCAACCGAGCTTTGTTTGCTCATATAATATTTACTTATGAATATTATTTCAAATTGCTAATATCATTTCCAGTTAGAAAGCGTGTGTGAAGATTAAATTTATTTGGATGCCATCTTTACATTGAATTCCAACAAAACTATCACTATATATATATATATATATATATATATATATATATATATATATATAT